TTGCCAAATGTGACTATCACACGATATTTACAATTAATAGAAAATATTCGATCCACTTACCAAAAACTAACACGATTATGCCTGCAGTTCCATCTATAGGCTAAATAATTTCTGTACATCCCTGTTATTAATATTCTTCTAGCTTTCAAACGTATTCTTCAGTAATGCCAACTCTTTCATGCTCGGAAATGCTTGACGACATTTAGGAAGCCTCACTTTCAAATTTGATTTTGACGTCGTTTTGTACGTTTCACCACGATGTTATATTTAGCGCAACCGTATATGAACTTTTGTCAGTACTGGAGGACGATATTGAGCTAAATACACCGACTTTTCTTGCAAAAATGATCGACTTTTCTTGCAAAAATGATCATCATTAGTAAGTTGTAGCGGCAAATTGTGATATAATATATATATATATATATATATATATATATATATATATATATATATATATATATATATATATATATATATATATATATATATATATATATATATATATATATATATATATATACAGGATGTTTAAAAAAGTACACAGATTTGAAATTTGCTCTTAAATTCGCAAAACAGCTATTAGTATCCAGGTTTATATGTATGTAGCTTCTTTGGGTACGTATAATGTAGAAAAATGGAAAAACTTTCTCGAACTCAAATTTTGTGAACCAGGGGGTGTGTCTTTTCAACAAAATAAAAATGCCTTGCGCACGAAATTTAAAAGCTTTAATCATATTTTGAGTTAACAGATGGGAAGTTCGTTCAGTGTTTAATTACTGTACAAAATTTCAGACAATTTGCATCAGTTTACGCCCTTTAACCATTCACGCAAACTTACATTTTTTCTTAAAAAATCACCATTTGCATGCTAATCAATGCCTTTGCCTAATTTGCATATGTCAGCAATATGCAAATTAGGTAAAGGCATTATTTAAGCATGCGAAAGGCTAATTTTTTAGAGAAAAATGAATAGTTGAAGGGGTAAGAACTAAAGCAAATTGTCTGAAATTTTGTACAGTAATTAAAAAACCAACAAAATTAAAAACCCTCAAAATATGATTAAAGCTTTTAAATTTCGTGCACAAGCGATTTTTAGTTTGTTGGAAAACTGGATACTAATAGCTGTTTTGCGAATTTAAGAGCAATTTCAAATCTGTGCACCTTTTTTTGTACACCCTGTATATATATATATATATATATATATATATATATATATATATATATATATATATATATATATATATATATATATATATATATATATATATATATATATATATATATATATATATATATATATATATATATATATATATATGCTCTCACCAAGGCATGTGGTACAACACGGTGACTCAACGCATCCATGCAAACATGCGCAGAGCGTAATGGGGCCAGAGTGCTCAAACGACCACAAGGGAAGTGAGCTTTGCAATATAGCGCTAAAAGACACCCATTAATATATATATATATATATATATATATATATATATATATATATATATATATATATATATATATATATATACTTGAAGATTTGTAATCCACGCATTTTATTAAATTATAATTTTTGCAAAATTATACAGTGGTCTTCGGATTAACCGTCACATTGACATCCCTACATTTTACTTACAACTGACATTTATCAGTTTTGACCGATATCTCAAGATCACGAAGCCACTTCAATATAGAGTCAGAATGACAACCTCCAAATCATTGAAAATTATCTTTGTCATTTGGTTGCTTACAACTGCCTTTGCCACCTACGCCGCAACTCCTTATTCAGGAAGCCTGGGAATCTTGGCTACAAGCGAGGAGCATTGCAGTTCTGTTGATGATAATAAGATAACAGAATTCTATACTTTTCTGGCAGTATGTGCATTTTTTCTACCTACCGTGGTCATACTTGTTATGTACGCTCTTATTTTTGTTGTTGTTCATAAACGACAGAAGATGCTGAGAAATGGGGAACTGGGTCAAACCTGCAATGATCGGAACCAACGACGTGCCTTTCTTCAAGATCTGAAGACTATTCGAATGCTATTGGTTGTCGTTGGAGTGTTTATACTTTGTTGGGGCCTTACTTTATTTGTCTGTTTTGCCATCCAAATTCTGCTGATAGCGATAACCGCTCATTAAGTTACCGGTATTTGGTCCATGCAGGTAAAGTAGTAGTAAAGACACTCCCACTCTTTAACAGTCTATGTAATCCAATAATCTATGCCTGTCTGGATCAAACGTACAGAGGGGCTTTCAAAAATCTGTTCCAGCGAATGCTGTGCCGACCAAACTCAAGAAGACAACCACTGCGAAACGGAATAGAGTTACCTCCACTAAGAACTATATAAGGAAACATTTCATTAATATGCGAATACCAGATCTCACTCTGGTATTTTTATTTTTAATTAATACGTATTTTTACTGAACTTTGGTGTTTCTCAATCTAGTATTTTTAGTTTTATTTAATTTGTATTTTTACTGAATTTTTGTGTCTGCAAAACGTTATATAGGTTCTTACTCTAAAGGAGAAACTAGAAAAATATCAGCAACCTCAAGTCCGTAACTTTTATAGGGTATAAGGTCTTGTGGTGCAACAGTTAATTAGATGTGACCTTAAAATGAACAGCTGATATATACATCATAGGAAATAAGAGACCATGTTGACTTTCGAAAAACATTCTTTAATTCACAAAGGTGCACAAATTCCGTGTTTACTTGAGTTATAGTTAACTATACAGCTCTTTGACAATCAGCGGTAGACCTTGCAACTGAGCGTATTCGTCTACCAGCCGCGCAATAAACTGATAGCTCGATTAAAGGCCCAAATCGTCTTCGCAGAAAAGAAGTGCGCATGCGTGATATCACGTATTTGGGGAATATCACGCACGCGCACTTCGTTTCTGCCAAAAGTTGCAATGAGCTGTTTGACGCACACTAAGGAATTTTTGTCACGAATGACAGAAAATATCAAACAAATTTGATATTTGTTGTTCACGACACGAGTGACAAAAATACTGAATATTTTCCCCGCACCTTAGGATTTTTGTCGCACGTAATTGATCACGAATGACAAGTGTGCGTGCAACTTGCACTAGTGTGCACCGGGCTTTATGTGCGCCAATTAATGCTATTGAACAATGGACAGCAGTAATTACTTACAGCGATTAAGTCCTTGATTCTGTCCTTGAAGATTAGTGACAGATTACGTTAAGGCCTCAGTTATAATAGGGTAGAATAGTGCAACGAGATTTTAAGCAATACAAACTACCTAAAAGGTGTATAAAAAGCGGGACCTTTAGAAATCAGAATTAACCTAACATCAGCAATTTCGCTTTGTTTCAGTGATGTGAATACAATTAGAAGCTATCTTAAATGCCAAAATGTATAAGATTATGTGCTTTTCTGAAGTTTCTGAAAGCTAAAGGTCTTGTTTTAGAATAGAATAGAATAGAATAATATAATTTGCACACACATTATAAATACAAGATACAACAATTTTCTACATTAAGTATTATAAAACAAAAAGAATTATGTGCATAGCCACCCGTAAGTACTGTAACCATAGGGGCTAATCGAGACAGGTGGCTATCAATTTTTAGTAGAATATATACAGTAAACAATTTTTAAATAAATGTGTTACAAGATGGCAAAATTGAAAATTAAAAGAAAACATAAATATGATCCGAATACTCAAGTTAATATAGCTCAATTATACTTTGTTTTAATTTCTTTTTAAATAAACTTATACTCAATATTTTTAGCGCCTCATCAATATCATTCCAAATTTTAGGGCCCGAAAAATTAATATTAAAAACTCCATAGTTGTACGAACTAAAGGTAAAGCGTATGAACACTTTGATGCAAGCCGTGTATCGTAATTATGTTTCATACGATTTAAAATGAAGAAGTTGTCAAAAGCA